CGCCATTGGGCGAGAATAGCAGTGAGGTGCAGAACATACAGCCACTATGACTGAAGGATTTAGAAGTGGTTTTTAGAAACCACTAGAGCTTGCAGGAGTCGACCAGATAAAAATGGGCAACAAAGAAGTGCTGATCAATATGGAGAGGCCTCCCTGATTTTGGACGCTACATGGGAGCCTTTTTAAAAGGATGAAGAGCATCCCTCTTTTACCTTGAGGACCAATGTGAGTTTTTGGTAGAGGGGTTAATGTTATGCTTGAACCAAGCCCCAGGAGGGGCCGGCTGGACCTCGTCCAACCCGGGTCTATATACCAGGCGCGAGCCGGAAAATAGGAAGAGGAGGAGGGGGGGTGTCTCCCCTTCCTTCAAAATAATGGCGTGCTCCAGCTCCCTCTGAGGTGGCAAACCCTGTGGAGGTTGAAAAACCTCCCTGAACTGTTGTATGACTGGTTGCACTTCAAGAGGAATGTCTCCCTCTTCCCCCACACTGACTTTCTCCAATCGTTGCAGCTCCACCAAGTATCCACCCCCAACCTCCTGGATGGTTCGGATCATGGACTTGAGAGACACCCCCGTCCTAGACAGGCCGACATCTCCCTGTATCACCATTCTCCTCCCTTCCACTACCAGTTCCATCCTCAGTTCTCCCCAGTTCACCTTGGTCTCCCCCAAAGTCTGTAGCCACTTCATTCCCAAAATCACATCAGTACTTCCCAATTCTAAGGGAAGAAAATCCTCCCTCACCTGTATCTCCTGAATGGTCAGCATCACTCCTCTACAAACTCCTCTCCCCATTTCCACCTTCCCCGTGCCCATCATTACCCCATAGCCTCCGGTATCCACTAATGCCATACCAAGCAACTCAACAAGCCGGGTGGAAATGAAATTGTGGGTTGCCCCACTATCTATCAGAACCACCACCTCGTGGTCAGCTATCACCCCTTTCACTTTCATAGTGTGACTCGAAGTGAATCCCACTACAGAGTTCAGGGAGACTTCTGCCACATCCAGGTGCAACTTCTCCTCCTCCTCCACTTCTGACCTGCTCCCACCTTCCTCTTCGTCTTCCTCGTCTTCGCAAACAAGGAGAACCTGAAGAGTTTGGTCCTTGTACCTATGTCCTGGCATGTACTTTTCATCACATCTAAAGCACAATCCCTTGGCCCTCTTCTCCTGCATCTCCTTATCAGTAAGCTTTTTAAAATTTCCCCCAGGCCCTCCTCCTCCAGACCTCTCCTTTGGTACTTCTCCTTATCAGTAAGCTTTTTAATATTTCCCCCAGGCCCTCCTCCTTTGGTGCAGCTCCCTTGGAAGCTAAGAAAGTGGTCGTCATCCTGTAGAATCCCCCAGAGCTACTTCCACGAGCCCCCCTCTCCAGATGCTTCTGGTCCTCGACCAACTGTGCCAACTCTATGGCCTCCCGCAGGTCGTGTGGTCTCATCACTCTAACAGCTGCCCTGATTTTTGGTTTGAGCCCCTTCATGAAGTTCCCCTCAAGCACTGTCTCAGAAAGACGATCCAACCTGCTAGCTAGGTACTCAAACTGATCCCGGAACTCTTCTACTGTCCCTTCCTGTGTCAGCGCAAAGAACTGTTCGTAGAAGTCTCCTCCCCTGCTGGTTCGGAAACACTCTAGCAGACAATCCTTGAACTCCCTCCAGCTTCGAATGGGTTGCCTCATGTCCCGCCACTGGTACCATGCCAATGCCTTCCCTTCCAAACATAGTCTTGCCGCTGTCAGTTTCTCCTCCTCCGTCAACCCGTTGACTGCAAAATACCGTTCCACCTTGTAGATCCAGCCATGACCATCCTCGCCCTCAAAGATGGGCATCTTCAGTTTCCTCACCTTGAGATCTCCTCCGTACCCTCGGTATCCTCCAAATCCTCCCATTCCTCAAGGCGGAGGTGCTCCCCAAGTGTCCCGATCATCCCTCCGACGATTATACCCAAACCCTTCCTCATATTCCCCTCTTCCCCTTTCAAAATCAGCACCTTGACGTTGAAATTCAGCACCTCGACGCTGAAATTCTTCTCTTCTTCTGCCAAAATCTGCACTTTCGTCGTATTCCCCTCTCCTACCTTCAAATTCCGCACCTCGATGCTGAAATTCAACACCTCGATGCTGGAATTCCTCTCTTCTACCGCCAAAATCAGCACCTCTTCGATCGTACCCCAGACTCATCTCCTCTCTAGAAAGCGATTCTAGAGGAGGCATATCGTCTTCCCCCTCAAGGATCTCCACCTCCGGATTCCTCATCCCCCGGACCGGGTTTGGATTTCCTCCTACGCCATGGCCGTCGGTGGTCTCTCTTACTTCCGATGCCGCCGAATGGGTCTTCATTTCTAATAGTTTCTTCATCATTTCTTCCTTCGCCGTGAACCTCCCTTCCAACCTGTCATTGTTGGTGGAGATTTCTAGGAACTTTCCCTACAGATCTGTCTTTAGTTGTCCAAACGCGCCTTCCAATACTTCTACCTTCTTTCCGACCATCTTTCTTCCCAACAGATCTCAACAAGTTCACTTTCGAAAGCCAAAAGCTCGCTGAAAAATCAGAATTTCAGCTGCCTAAGGTCCCAAAAATGATGCTCTGATACCAATTTGATAGGAAACACTTGGATTTCCAAGTGTTTCTCACCAAAACCAAGTAGATCCAATGTAAAACTGCTGTCCATAGCAGAAATCAGCCAAGAAGCAGGGAAAAACAGGAAGAATACGCTAGAAATCTGAGAAGAAATCACACAAATCAATTGTATTCCAATAGTAGAAGCAAGACAATAAGAAAGATACAATGTTCTTCGATTCGAGAGGAAGAACAACTCTCCGACAATCTCTGGCAACGCCAAGAGCCCAAGCAAGAAACCCTAGATCTCAAATTACATTCAAATTCAAGATAAAACCCTCTCCATCCTAATCCCCCTAATTAACAATAAAGGATTCCTACAAAATACCTAAACAACCCTTTGCATTCAAAAATTTCCCTCCTACATGATCAAATCAGCCCCAAGTGGGGCCCACCTTGTCCGCCCCCCTCCTCTTCCTGTTTCCGCCTCCGCCTGGTATAGACCTGGGTTGGACCGGGTCCAGCCGGCCCTTCCTGGGCCGGTTCAAGCATAACATAAAACTTGCTGGTGTGGATTTCCCAGGCTTCTAGGCTACCAATTGGAGGAAGTGGTTACAGCTGAAAGAGCTTGTTGGTTGTTGTGTGAGATGGACAGTCGGTATAGACCCACAATACAAGGGTCAGAGAGAAGAGTACTGTTGGCCTGCTTGTCCTTTATGTAGAAACCAGATGCATAAAAAAGAATTGACATGTTATTGTCTTTTGTTAGAGAAGAAACATGTAAAAGATTATATGCCAAATTAGGAATGTGAAGGAGATTAGAAAGTGAGAGGTTACGAGTGGGAGTTGGAAGCAGTCCATGTCCAGAGTGTGCTATAGGAATTGATCTAACATCACTGATGGAAATGTTGTCCTGGCCATTGTATTCGGAGGGTTGTTGAACATTGTCGAGATTGTTGGTGAGATGGGATGATGCTCCAAAGTCGATGATCCAATCTTGGGTGACCTGATTATTGGATGCCATAAGGGCTGTTGAGGGCGATGTGTAGTTAGTGTTGAAGCGATGCCAATAGTTGTTTGTGGCATGCCTTCTTTTTCCACAAATTTGGCAGATAATTGGAGCAATAGACGGGTTTGAGGTAGAGGTGGAAGTTGGTTGCGTGCAAGAGTTGGTTCGTCCGCGGGAAGATGTGTTGGATCGCCCACAACCACGATCACGAGAATATCAATTCAAATAAAGAGTATTGCATATTCAAGTTGGTGTTATCTTTGGCAAGATTGGTTGATAAATTGATCTCTTCGCTCAAAAGAAGAGAGTAGAGGTCTTCGAGAGCGACGAGAGTGAGAGTGGTATGAATTGAGGTCTTAAATGTCTGATACTAAGGGGGCAGCCCATTCAAAGTGTAGAGCAGGATGTCTTCGTTGTCTATGGGACACCATGCTGCGGCTATATTATCTACAAGTGTCTTGATGTTGGTAAGATATTGAAGCATGGTTTGCTGACCTATGGCGATGTGATGAAGCTCCTTCTTGAGCTGGATGACCCTCCAGCGGTCCGTCTCTTGTAATCTCCATTCGAGAGTACTCCAAATGTGCGCACAGTTGTCAAGATGCAAAACATAAGGTAGGATACATGCAAAAATGGTCGAGCAAATTGCAGCTGTGAGATTCTGGTCTGCAAGAATCCAACAACTATAAGCCATGTTCGGTCTTGAAGTTACCGTGGAGTCGGTAGTGATATGGGATGGTATAGAGGTGTTCTTGTCAAGGAACCCACTATAGTTGTTCGCTCTAAATAGCTTTAGAATTTGAGATCTCCACGTCGAGTAGTTTTTGTTGGAAAGTTGTATGGGAATGATGGCTTTGATCTTGGAGATGAGGAACTTAAGAGAGGAAGGGATTACAACATCTTCTTGAACATCTTGAACGGAGACGACGTCTGCTGGAGCGGTTGCAGTAGATGAATCTTCAGTTTGAGAGATCGACATAGTTAGCATTGTTGCAAAGACTTTGGGTGGGTAGGAGAAGCACGGTAGAGAACGATATCGTGGACCGAGAAAGAAACGAGGGTTGCAAGAAGGGATCAGGAAGAAGATGGCAGCGAGCCTGCTATGCTCTGATACAATAAAGAGAGGAAAAGATATATAGAAAATCTTTCATTTCATGTAAATGGAAACGGTACAAAATACTAGGTATAAGGGCCTATATTTATAGCAATATAGAGCTACACGTGTAATCTGCTAATAGGTTGATTGTGTGGAATTGTAACGTTTTTCTTGTCAGTCGTACATGCCTTTGTTTTGTCCTTTCTTGGATTTTTTTGCTGAGATGTTATTACAAATCATGGCTAATTGTTTGCGGTACTAAATGCTAGAGTTCAGATTGAGAAGGATGCTTGTCTTGATATGTGCAATCGAGAGAGTAAGAGAGAACTGTGAATTGAATTCTTCTAAAAGGTAGAGGAGGTAGACATGACGAATAGTATCGTTCCTCTTTTTTTCTTTTCTCTACAACAAAATTCTTCTTATGAGTATAAAATTATTACAGTGTATAAATAACAGAACTAAACAATCTTTTGGATATAAAATGGAGTTTTTCTTAAACAAAATTTATAGCAAAGTAATTTGCTTATGTGATTTGAATTCCTTGGCATGTCAAAAACATATTTTAATTTCTGCATGATTATTTTATACAAATTTTTATTTCTAATTACTTTAAGCCCACACAATTCAAAAGGCAAGATGGATGCTTAGCTACAACCAACAATAGAAAAATAAAAATCTTATTAGAATTATGAATATTTGAATAATATTTGCATGATACCCTAATAATTGAGTTACTAAATTAATAAAATAAAATCTCTTATATTATGGTAATAGTTATTTTTTAATTAAAACCCACGGAGGGGCCTACTCATTAATTAAAGGTAAATAATACAAAGTCCTTAAAAGGACCTCACGCTCACCACTGCTCATAAGAGCTACAAAAATAAAGATAAAAAAACCTACAAGCACAAGGCCCTTACTACACAAAAATACATAACAACCTAGGTAAATTCTATGATGCTTAAGAATGAGCACATAAAAGAGGGAAGAAAAGAAAAACGATCTTGCACGAACTGCTTCCCAACAAAAATCATGAATTTCCTTCTACCAGCACAGAAAACCTACACTAGCAACAGAAAGCCCACCAAAAACCAACAAAAAATACTACAATAGAAAACATTAAAAGCACTAAAAGCCCAACGGTACCACCAGCAAATCATACTAAGACAGCAGTAATAAGGCTTCCAGGGAAAGAAAAATAACCTCCCATCAGAGAGTAGAATAGTGTAATTCTGAACAGTCAAACCCAGCCAATTCCCGCACAGATTCAGATACCCCAAGTAAATCCTCCACACCACCATATAATACATCAGAGAATGCCAACTCCACACCCGCACCATGTGCAGGCCACAAAATTGAAAAACCACACCAACCTCACCAGAATAGAGACTACTAGGCTCCAGCAACAACACCAACCAACTTAACTCAGAATAAGACACAACTCAACACATACAAAGCACAAAGAAAATGATAGTAAACCTGAGAACACCCAAAACAGAATGAGCCAGCATAACTAGGAAATGGATAACTGGATCCCAGCATAAGTCCTCACAGAAGAAGAGGAACAGAGCAGCCAGAACAAAATCAAACCACCCGAAAAGCAACCCGAAATTTATGACAGACATAAGAAAAACCAATTTGATCTAATTTGACAAGGCCTTGAACATAGACAGGTAGCTGATCAAGAGAAAATTCATTATAATCCTTAAACATAGTAACCAAAATAGCCAAGGCCCGCGCAACATCATTCCCTTCCACCTTAATGAAAGAATAGGAGTAAGAAAAAGACTTCAACTCATCTTTAATATTTCTCCTGATGTAAAACAGATCAGGGCCACACCAACTATCATATTTATTAAGACTCAAGAGACTGTCAAAATACGAAGAAGCCACCAAAATAATGTTCTTAATAAAAAAACATTGCAAAGCTTTAACCCATGTAGAACACCAATAAAAAAAGCCATGTGACTATCCTCAACCAAAACCGGGCCAGCAAAGCCAGAAATGAATATACCAAGATGATTTCTGATGATACCAGCATAGCCATAATTACTACCAACTTTAGCCCAAGCCACATTCAACATGAAATAATTAAGATTAGGCTTACACCAATTCACACAAATAGATCAAATTTGACCCTAATCCAACTCCACATTATTACCAAAAAAAAGAAAGGGTATAATAAAAAATTTTAAAATTCTTTATAGAAAGCAAATTAGCAGGGAAAAGAGCAATGACCTTATCTTTAATTTTGTGAATAATTCTCTGGTGATTCGTATCAACCCCATTAAAATGAGAATCATTTCTTTCCAACCAGAGAAGCCAACAAATAAGAGAAGAAATCACATTTCTAATATGGCCTTTGGACTCTACAAACCAAAAGTCAAGCAATTGAGATATAAAATAGAAGCGACATATAAATTCAGTTGAAACAAATCCTCATAAAAAATCCAAACCTTGACCGCAATAGGACCAGATATAAAAACGTGATGCATATTGTCAACATGGAAACATCATTGGCATTTAGTAGTAATAATGAAACCTCTCTTCCTCAAATTATCATCAGTAGGAACGAAGCTATGAAAAATTCTCCACATAAAAATTGAAATAATAGAGGGGATAGTGTTATGCCAAATCATTTTAAACAGTTTTAAAGTATTCTTTTTAGTTCTGAAAGAGTGCCAGGCATACTTAATACTGAAACAACCATCTTTAGAACCCGAGTAAAGTAACACATCCTTCACATTGCCATTAATAGGGACCTTAAGAATAAGTTGAATAATACTATCCGGGAGAATAACATACAGTTTCTCCAAATCCCACCCATTAGAAGAAAAGAAATAATTAACCTTCCTTTCAGAGATAGAGATAGTGTTAAGTAAAGAATCAATGGATTCACCATTAAGCCACCTATCTTGCCAAAAGAAAATGTTCCCATTACCAAGGCCCAAAACTAAAGAAGACTCCATTTTCCATTTAACCAAATAAATATGATGCCAAACTTTAGAGTGACCTTTAGGAAAACAACACAAGGAAGGATGTCTCCCACCACAATATTTGTCCATCATAAAATTGGCCCACAGACTGACATTAGACCTAAAATTAAACCATAGCTTGAAAGAGAAAGCCCAGCCCATATCATTCATCTCTTTACACCCTAATCCCCCTTCTTGCTTAGTACCACAACAACCTCCCCAATTCTTTCAATGAATCTTAGAATTATTACCAGAACCTTTCCAAAAAATTTATTAAAAGTTCTTTCAATTCTAAGACAAACACCCTTAGTAGGAAGGAGAGATTGAAAACTATAAATCGGAATAAAACATAATACACTTTTAATAAGGGTGAGATGCCCACTAAAACTTAAAAAAGTAGTATTCCAAGAAAATAATCTATTCTGAACCATAGAAATTAAATCATCAAAGAGGAAAGCTCTCTTTCTACCTAAAAAAGAGGAATACCCAAGTATTTCAGAGGTAAAACACCTTGAGAAAGTAGTAAGATTCCTAATATCTAAAATTCTGTCAGGCATAACATTCTTAGAAGCAATAAAACAACATTTTTGCTTGTTAAAAGATAGACCACTAACTGATTCAAATTGACCAAAAAATCTCAAAATTTTACTAATCCTATTCTTAGAAGCATTAGTAAAGACAATGAAATCATCAGCAAAGCATAAATGGGGGATGTGAAAGCCACCTAAAGTTTTGATATAAAGACTAGGGCAATTAAAGAAAAGATTAGTCAAACCCCTAGAGAGATAATAAGTAGCAATAATAAAGATAGCCGGAGGCAAAGGGTCACCTTGCCTCAAACCATGAGAAGCTTGAAAATAACCAAGAGTTTTACCATTCACAATAATAGAAAAAAACTTACTTTCAATACAAGATTTTATGAGATTTATGAATTTCAAATCAAAACCAAAAAGACTCAACATCTTATAAATAAAACTCCAATTAATATTATTGTAGGCCTTAACAATATCTAATTTCATAATCATGTTACCACCTCTCACCTTGATATCCAAATCCTGACAAAATTCCTGAGCTAAAAGGATATTGTCAATAATAGCAGGGCCTTTAACAAAGCCCTTTTGATAAGGAGATATTATCTTAGGTAGAAAAATAGATATCATGCTCATCAAAAGTTTAGATATAAGTTTATAAAATATGGTACATAAACTGTGGGTCTAAAATCATTCCACGAATTAACAGCAGTGTTCCTAGGAATTGAAATAGTAGAGGTAGACGTTAAAAATTTAGGAATAGGAGAGCCATTAAAAAAATCTGTGACAACAGAGAAAGCATCATTAAAAATAATAGACCAAGTTTTTTGGAAGAACTTAGTGGTAAAACCATCCATCCCAGCAACAGAATCAACATTCATATTAAATAAAATATCTTTAATCTCCTCAAGAAGAGGAGACTTAGAGAAGGAGCCATTCTCCTCTTGAGAGATAACATTAGGAATAAAAGAAGGGTCAACACTAGAAACCGAATTAAAAGACTTATTAAGGTGTTTATGAAAATAATTAACAGCCAAGCTAGCAATCTCATCTCTATCCTCAGTAGTAGAGCCATCCTCGCGATAGATTTTATGAATATTGTTAATAGTGCGTTTCTTATTAACCAAAGCATGGAAATATTTAGTGTTATTGTCGCCTTCCACTAAATGCTTGGCAGCCACTTTTTGTTTCCAGAAAGTTTTTTCCTGAACCTGAAGCTTAGACAGCTCCACTTTAGCCTCATCAAAAATACACAGATTAGCCTAAGAGGAATCGGACTGACAAAGATCCTCAAGGGAGTTAATTTTATTTTTAGCAAGTAAAATGTTGGTAAATTTTTTTTAAAAACATTATGGTTCCACCAATTCAACACAAGCTT